CAGAAATGCTGCATAGCGGAAAGACCAAGGGTATACGTGCATGTTCCGCAAGATGTTCACTCTCGCCCTGGTCTCTGCAAAGCTCCTCAGGCAGTTCGCCAGTCGTCTCACATTCTGTACTGCTCTTTCTGCCTGGCCATTCGACGAGTGTTGGTTCGTCCCTGTCATCCTCACTTCACTGCTCAGCCCCATCACTGCACAGACCTGTTGCACAGACCTGAGTATTTGCCGAATTGCCCTCTCAGGGTCACCCTGAAAAACGACGGGGTCCATGGAGCTGTTCTTGAGGGAGAATCTGATGACCTCCTCTGTGACAGTTTTGAGACTCGAAGTGCCCTTTGTGGGCACTGGCACAACGTGAACTGCCTTCGTCTCTGAGGCTACCATCACTAAGCACGTCCCGAACTGGTCAGACCGCTCCTTCACCTTGTCCACGGGTCCTTCATCTCCTCTTACATCCTCACCTGTATAGGTGTAGAAGAAGTCCAGTTGGACGACGTTCTTCCCGAGGTCGGCCTTCTCTTCCCTTTGCTCGAACTTGTCTTCTTTGGCTCTTGTCGCCACACATGCTTGGCACCAAGGGGCATAAGGCAGGCGCGTCACGAAGTGAGTTTCCTGTTCCTTCAATGATGGAAGTCTGGGCTGTCCCAAGGCTGTAGGCCTTCTCCCTTGCTCTTCAAACAACTTGCTGGCGATGCTCAACTTCATCTGGTTCTCGAGGTTCACCTTGAAGGCGATCAAACGATCAAGCAATCTCCTTTTGCTCCCACTGTACGGTAGCTGCCTCTCTTTGCATGCCAGCTGAAGTTCCTTTACCGTCATCTTCTCTGTATAGAGCGTCTCATCGAGCTCCACCTCATCTCTCTTCTCTGCAACCACCATCTTTTCGATGTCCTGTGCATCCATCCGCAATTCCAGCTCATCTTCGTTCTCATAGTCGTCTTCTGACCAATCTGTTCTGCCTTGAGATTCCCTCATCTTCTCCTCAGGCAGTGGGCGAACAGGAACCGCTGAATCCTGTTCCCAATAGTCTTCCATCTTGGAAGCTGCGAAGAAAGTGATCGTCCTCTGAGGGCCGCCCATGCCGATCTTTCGATAGGCTTGAGATCCTAGCCCTGCATAGTCCTCAACGTTCTCCAGCTGCGTCCAAAGACCATCACCATCTTTGACTAGAGTCATTCTTGACCTCCATGTCTCTTCGATCTGGCCATCCATGAGTGTTGTTGCCACTGGGTCGCTGTATGCTGCAATCCCATTGGCCTGCGCCAGCCTGGCGCCAGCTCCAACTCCTTCACATACCTGCTAAGTGATCCTCTGAGCGCCAGTACCACTGCAGGTTCTTTCTCCTCCACTGTAGTCGTCCTGCTGCTTTTCCTCCTTCTTCATGGTCTCAACCATATGGATCTTTGCTGCAAATTGCAAGGAATTCCGTTCATCGCTGATCGGAACCACCACGCTTCTCTCTTCATGCTGCAGGGTCAGGCTGCCTCCTTCGTTCTCGATGCACCAACCTTTTCGAAGAAGTCGTCCAGCACATAGGATTGGATGTTTCACATTCCCAAGGACGAATTCCTCCACCATTTCCACATTCTTTCCATTTGCATCTCTTGTACGCAGCCTTGCTCTCGTGACCCCATCATGGGCTATTTGCTTTTTGTGCGCATCCACCATCTTCAAAGATTCAGTGCCAGGCGCCCATTGTCCCACGTTTCCATAGGACTTGGGCAGGACGGAGATGTCCGCCCCACTGAGGTAGGAAATGAGCAGGCTGCACAGGCGAATGGAGGAGGCCTTTGCCTCATCCGTCATCTCATCAAGCTCGTAGTTGCCACTCAGGTTCTCCTCCACCATCCTCATGCTGTGCGCCATGCCAGGGTCGATGCCCTTCACATAGTTCTCGAAGGAGAATTTCCAGTCGCTTCATTGTTTCAATTCGTTGTCCCTGGTGTCAGGCTTGAAGATGTCAGGGGTCTTCAAGTGGCGAGACCATGCTGTTGAACTCTGGCTCACACTCAACCTCTCTAAAGCCTGTGAAATCTTCTGCAAGCTCTCTTCAGCCATTGCAGCCAGGTAGGAAATGTAGGGCCTGTACGTCCTTCTGGTCAAGGTAGGCATCTTTTCTGAATGGTTGAGCTCGAAGTCAAAGTAGTCCAACAATTGGGTGAAGTCCCAATTCGCCACCAGGTCGCTGATGACCTCCTTGTCGGCGCTGTCCCGAAGCTTCTCAACCTTCTCCACCAATTTCCAGCCAGCTGGGACCAACACAACCAGCTGCTTTTGCTCTCTGGATCTTTTCTTCTTCCTTTTGTCCTTCTCTCTGACCGTCAGAGTGGCTTTCACCACACGGTCGCTGCGCGCCCACTTTAGCTTCCCCACGCGCTCACTGGTATCCACCAGGATGGCGTGGATGTACCTGAGCTTCCACTTGCCAGTCTCGTGCACCACGTTGGGGCTTTGGTAGAAGCACACGATGGAAGCGTCACCAGCTCCACCAGCTATCCCAGCCAGGAGCAGAAGCTCAACCAGCCAGAATCCCACCGAAGTCGATCGTGCCGAAGATGACCGGGATCTCGACCTGGTACTTTGACCAGGAATCGTGGTGCCTATGGCGTGGGGTAGGGAGCCGGGCACTTTACGACCCGGCTCCGCTACCATGCGAAGCGCGTAAAATGCTTTTCGCTCGGGCCTAAAGTCAGGCGGTACACTTCTTGATTTGCGCAGTGGTGCATGAGTGGATGTCACTTACGTGTTATGCTTTCCTGTCATAAACACAAAACACCTCTTTCGTGTTGCTGCAGCCTGCAAAGGCAAGCAAAACAGAGCAAAACTTTACCTACACATGCCCTAGCTACCCAGCCTCCAGCTGCGGGGAGGGTTTCAACAGCTGCAAGACTTGGGCCCAGCGATGTCCTTGTCCTCAGGCAATGCTAGTATGACCAAACATTCCCGGACTCGGAACACCCCAGGACTCGTGGACGTTGACTCAAGCTGATGGCTAAAAAATGCCAGTCCAACGTGCACTGTGCGCCCTGTAGTTTCAAATTGTTTGGCCTTCAAACTGCCATCTGCAAGGGCGAAAGAAACTCGAACCAAAATGAATGCGGGCAATCGGCAATACGTTTTCCGGGGCTCTGCTACTGTCCCAAACCTTTTTTTGGATGTTTGAAGGATGCCTCACCCACCGGCACAAAACGCCCAAACTGATCCAAAAGCCACAAGAAGGGGCCTGCCTCCCACGACCAATCAGGATCAATCAGGGTTGTTAGCTTCTCGAATTTGTTGGTGAAGGAGGGCCCATCTCCGAGATGGCTTTGCGTTTCTTGTTTGGAAGACACAGGAGGCACACAGCCCCAAACTATCGAAAAATGCAAACCAAAACGAAAACGAACGTTGTATATGCACATATAATCGATATGTATATATATATACTTATAATACTTATGCTGAAAAGGATCAAGCTGTTGCTGCTGATGCCCCGGCGCACGTACTGTTCTTTTGGCAACTCGGCATACTGTAGACCGTTACCAACAAGTTCATGTGTTCGAATGGTGCAAATCTCAAACCTTAGCCGAGCGTCCCAGAGACACAAAGAGGGCACCATAGCTGACGACGCTCGGAGGCAAGCTGGCGTTGTTCAAATCAGCAAAGAGCTGCAGGGCGTGTTCCTCGATGTCACAATCCCCCAAAAAAACGCCCAGCACGCAAACCCGGAACCACTGGCTTGCGGAGAGCTGGTAGCTCTCCAAGGCTCTAAGGAACGACGTCTTCGTTGCATCAGCTTCTGACTCCGGCCCAAATTGCTGGTTGCGGGGGCTCGTTTGGGGGGGGCTCAGGCCCCTCGGCCGTTTCATGTCCTGCGCCTTTGGGCGACCCGACAGCGTAACAAGCCATGTGCGTCCGGGTTCCCAGTGCTGCTCGCACGCGTGCATGCCAATATTGAAGCAAACCGTGTCCAGCTTCAACCGCCTGGGGCGCGCAGCAGCCAAAAAAGGGGCCACGTGGGTTCTAGGAAGACTGAGGGCACTAGGACCCACTGCTTTGTACTGCGCGAAGGGCAAACCTGGCCCCTTCACTGCTCGTACAGTCTGAATTACCACGGGGGGCAGTGCACTTGGCACAACTCTGTGACCAGCGAAATTGGCCTATCCCACAGGAATGGCATATTAGAATGCATTAACCAGAAGCCGGAGCCACCAAACCCAGCAGTTCTACACTCGCTTCGCTGGAACTTGCCAGTGCCTCTCCCGGAGTTCTGCCAGCAGCGCCAGCGCCGGCTGCCAGCGCCTCCGCCGGGCCATGCTTCGCAAGACCTCGCTGCAGGGCACGGCGCCTGGGCGATGGCCGACCTCGGAGGATGGCGACACCGTCGTGGCGACGCGGTCGACGGGAACTCAGTTGGTCAGGTGAACCGTCCCGTCGACACCGTCTGCGACTGCACTGCTACTGCATGCGTGGTCAATGCGTGCAACAGTGCTGCGCAGGAAATGACGTTCGAATCAAAGCCACTTTTAGCCGCTCAAGGTGTTTCTCGAAAGTCTCGCACCTCTTGCAACTCCAAAGCGTCCAATGCCCCTCAGCCCTCACCCTCACCCAGCGCCGGCGCTCGTCACCCACGCAGACCGAGTAGCGCGCTGACTGGTCCAAGGCACTGCCCAAAGGCCATCCAACAGATGCAGCGCATGTTGCCAATGAAACTTCCTGCATGCTGACCGCAGCGGTGTGAGGTTCAGCCGGTTCAGGCCAGTCGGCATGGACTCGCCATGGTCCCCTCGGGTGCCAAAATGGCGGCATGCAAAACGGCGACACCGTGTGGTCAGCAGCCAACACCGTGGGCTACCTGATTCAGCGCGAGGCGGAAATCTTCGTCTTCACCAAATCCGATCCAAACAAGCTCCGTCACCACCCAATGGATGGAGCTCAGCATGCTCAGTATGGAAGGTGCGGTTGCTCACCCCCCCCTCCACGGCCCGAAGGCGAGCCGACCAGCCCAGCCGTGACGCGTTCGCCGGCATGAGGTTCCACGCCGTGTTCGCCAACGCTTGGGGGGAGCCATGGGTGAGTCCTGGTGGCAGAGAAGGGAACGGAAAGAAGCTCCAAATGGCCGAGCTCCACGCGCTGCCCATCTAACTGCTTGACTTCGGACCACGGTAGATGGGTCGTGAAGAAGACTCGAACTCAACTGTGAACGGTTCTGAGGTGGCGGCACACTCTATCTCACTGGCACGGCTCAAATGCCGCGTCCCATCTCGGTCCTTTGGCCGCGACGGCCTCCAAGAATGGCTCGTGGCGCACCAGCAACTGCCCAAAGGCCCACACCACGTTGGCCATCCCCTGGGCCTGTCTTCCAACACGCTTTGTTCAACAGATCAGCCCTGCGAATTGCTCTCACCCAATGGCGCAGATCCCAACAGAAGGAAATCCCAGTCGCGCCTGAAATTCATGCAGCCGCTGTGCACCAAGAAGGCCCACGAGATGCAACGCGGGCATCCTGCAAGCGCAAAGCTGACATGTCACAAAGTTGGTTTGGAAGGGGTGAGTCTGAGTCTCCATGTTCCCGAATCTATGGGCAGAATTGATCTAACAACGCAAGTCCACTGTACCAAGAAAACCCTGTCGAAACGATTTCACCTTCAACAATTTTTGGTCACGTATATATTGTTCGCAATGTTTTCAAGGTAAACAGGCTCGTGGTTGGGCGTGTTGGTTGTGAAGAAATTGTTTACAACATCAATGCTCCAAGCCTGTAAAAATCACCAATCTAAAAGTAACATCTAAAACAAAACGAAATCTCTGTGCCGAGGGCAGTGCCAAACACATTTCCATGAAATGGCAGGCTACACAAGTGTCCAGCACATGCAAGACCAAATGTTTTACATGTTGTACAACATAAATTCCCTTTTTTGATTTTTGTATGCACTCAGCATGCGGTTGTTGTTTCCAAATTGGTTTTGTAAAGGTGCGCTAACTATTAATGACCAGTTGGTTTTGCAAATGCCACTGAGAAATATTTCCCTTCATCTACGTCATTCTGCGCCCTTGTCTTCTTCATGAACAAATGTATGTTACCATTCAACTATATCCATGTCCACGCGTTCCAATGTCAATACTTTACCCTCAAACTTTTCAGCATCAAATCTCCTGCTGATAAATACGAATATGAAGTTGAAATGACATGAGATTTTGGCACGCTGAAACCATCTAAGATTCCACCATATTACCCACCTACCCGTTGGCACAACAGCAGCAGCAGCAGGTATAGAAATTTTACACAAGAATGGGATAGGGGTGAGACTTTTGCGGCGTGGGGCCATGGCCCGTCACAAAACGGCATCCCAGAGCTAAAGGGATGCGTGAAGTTTCGCCGCCTGCTTCATCACGTGTCACTCGTGGATATGGAGACTTTCCCCCTTCTGTTGCCAAGGTGTAAGAAGCTTATGCGTAAGGCGCAACTACCTTTCTTACACGGCGGTCAAAACCAGCGCTAATTACTGTAACAATGTTTTTGCGAAACTACAACAGTACTCATCCCTTTCATTTCAAACATCATGAAGCGCATGTCAAACGACACAGCGCAAAACGAGAAGCGTCGTACCGAAGACCGCTTGAGTGCTCAAAGATCCGCGTGCTAACGGGGCCAAGGATCCTCATTCCGCTGGACACGGATCTGGGACAGGACCCCATCCCCAAGGGCGCCGCAGCGGTAGCCATAGAGCAGGCCTCGCAATCAGAGCCAAACGCTTCTTGGAGTACAAGATCGGCTGCTGAGCTGGAGCGCCCTGCGTCCCAAGAGCCGGAAACACAGATGGATTTCAGCTGAGGAGTTGAGCAGCACCTAGCACCCCTGGACCCTGAGTTCCCCGGCACCTTTCAGATCACACAAAACCAAACAAGGGAAGCCTCCAGACCGATGAGGTGAAGCAGCGGGGAACGTTCCTATTTTGCGAAGCGCGGAGCGCACCGTAGCAGCGTATTGGGCTCTTGTTTTCCTGATCACTTTGAGGTGTCAAAAGGGGCTGTGGGTCACACGGCCTCATGCCATGTTCAACCATGCTACTCTTTACAAAGAAAAACCTGAAGAATTTTGCAATCCTCCTTGAAAGCAGCTTGGTCTGAAACGTCCCTTGAAAGTGAAACATCCCACTAAATGGGATCTGGCTCTGGCGGATCATCCCGCTCTGGGCGGGGCTGCCCCCGTCTGCGACGGCATTGCCGATCTGAGGTGTAGGTACAGTTTTGGGTTTGGCTGCTGCCTTACAGTTTGCTTGCCTGCCCCTTTCCCTGGCTCGGCAAATTTGGCATACATGACGCATGTCCACCTCGCACGCATCACTTCGCCCTATCGGGATGGAGTCTCTCGCTTGAAGTGGAAAAGTCAAAGTCTTCCATGCTTTGCGCATCTAGAAACAAAATTACTTCACTTCCAATTCGCAATCCGTACTGAGATGCGTTCCAGCCACAGCGGGCCCAGTACTCTGATTGAACCACAGCTACGGTTGGTCCAGGTCCAACATTTTTGGTAGACTGAAAGCGGGAATCAGTTTTGGACTACTCTGAGACTAGTCTCCGCATGAAAAATGCTGGAGAAGGTCGCGTATGCCCCATATTTTTCGCCCTCCGCGTTTCAACGTTAGCCTACTCTCAAAGGCTGATGATCGCAGAAATGGCTCGGAGTAGATATTTCTACCCACACCCAGCAAAACGGAGAAAATGAAGAGATGGGATGAGAGTAAGTTGTGGAGCAGTGAGAAAATGTTGAAAATGGTCGATTGCTGCCTCGCATGCAAGCAGAGCAACATGCCTTTGAAATGCCATGGGTTATGATGCCGACAACTTTTGCGGAACTCCAGCCCCAGCTGCCAAGCATGGCCAGCTATAGTAAAAGGCTCACTGCGTCCAACTAGAAGGAACCGATATCTTTTCATATTGCATATGCGCGGGGAGCGTTGCCCTCCGCGCGCCCATTTGCAGGTCGCAAACTTTGGACGCAGGCCTGCCACATTAGAGTCGAACAGCTTTTGAAAATGAAAGGGGGTCAAAGACCATGTGTGGGCATTTTTAAAGTATACCAAAGTCCCAGGTGAATGGTTTTGAACTATGTCCGTGATCACTGCCCTGTCGAGAAAAGACATTCAGAACATCAAAACCCATCAAGCGACTGAAGGAATCAAGGTCTGAGATTCCCAACCGCTTTGATGGATAAGACATAAAACACAGCAAGGACTTTTGGATCTCCTTATTGGCAGACGCCACTGATGCCAACTTGCTGGCACAGCTTCGTCATGTCAACTCGTTGGCGTGCTTGGTGTCTTCGGACTAGCTTAAAATCATGTTCGGAAGCCCGAACGACATGAAGCGCTCCAACACACCCAGCCTTCTGGATCCTTACTACCGCTTGCGCGTCAAAGGAATGCAGCGCCACAATTCCGGAGGCGAACAATTTCCATTGATTACGCACCACAAGGTGCGCATCATGAGAAATCGTGTCAGTGGCCATATCGGTCGGGACACACCAGGGGTCAGCGGCTGCAGCGCTCATGACTTCGCGTCCCTCAAAATCCACGCCAGACGCTGTCACAATCGGTTGCTTGTCAAAGGTTGCGAATATATTTCTAGAATTTTGTTCGTTTTTTTGGTTGATTTTTTTTGTTTTTCGTGTTTCGTGGCAGGTGCAGTACTTTGTGGACCTTGCAAAGCACATTTCGTGGCAGGTGCAGGACCTTGTGGGCCTTGGAGTGCAGAGTTTGTGGCAGGCGCAGGACTTTTTGTGGGCCTTGAAGTGCAGATTTCGTGGCAGGTGTAGTACTTTGTGGCCCTTGGCGTGCAGATTTTGTGGCAGGCGCAAGACTTTGTGGACCTTGAAGTGCAGATTTCGTGGCAGATGCAGGACTTTGTGGGTGTGGAAGTGTAGAGCTGGTGGCAGGTGCAGGACTTTGTGGGCCTTGGAGTGCAGATTTCGTGGCAGGCGCAAGACTTTGTGGACCTTGAGTGCAGATTTCGTGGCAGGTGCAGTACTTTTGGATGTTGAACTGCAGAAAGATAGAAAGATAGAAAGATAAATTGATAAATAGATTAGATTAGATTAGATTAGATAGATAGATAGATAGATAGAGGGGCATATTTGCTTGGTTAGAAAGTTTTGCACCGGGGAGTTCACCTCAAAATATTGATTTCGTGGCAGGCGCGGGTGTCGGGGATGAAGTGCAGATTTCGTAGCGCGGCGGGGGGGGGGTTGGGGGGGGCGCAGCGACCCCCCCAGCAGCACACCAGATCCAAAAGTGAGCAGCTCGTGCTTGCTTGTTTGCTTGCTTGTTTGCTTCCTTGTTTGGTTTCGTCTCTGCAACGAAAACAACAGGAAAAGCAAATACAAAAAGAGAAAGGAGAACAGCTGCCAAAAGAAAGGAAGAAAGAAAGAAAGATAGATAGATAGATAGATAAATAGATAGGTAAAAACAGATAGATGGATAGGCCAAAAAACCAAAAGCCACAAAAGCCAAAAGCCACAGAAGCCACGAAAGCCACGAAAGCCAAAAGCCACAAAGGCCAGAAGCCACAGAAGCCAAAAGCCACAAAAGCCAGAAGCCACAGAAGCCAGAAGCCAGAAGCCACGAAAAAATAAAAATCAAAAAATCCAAAAATAAATACCCCTCCCTTGTCAAACTGGGCGCCCGGCAATTGGTTCCTTAAGCCACTCAATTTCGGCACGCAGTGCTGCCTCAGGGACTCCGCGCGTCACTTGAGAAGCAAGAAATTCCATGTGAAATTGGCAATATAATACGCAAACATACGCAGACAACGTCTTAAGCCAAACACCATCAAGGCTATAGGCCCCCGGGCTATATCGCAACACGATGCGGGTCAGGTCTTCCGCAGCCCTAACGCAGGAGCGATGCTGAAACGATCCTCTTAGCTGTGTTTTGCGGCCAGCCTCTTCTTTTGGCCTTTCGACCTTACATTGTGAAGGGAGCAGATGGCCGCTTACGCTGAAAC